GAATTCAGACACATGCACAACGAAACGAAACTTGAGCGAATGAGCTTGTCAACAAACGACAGTGAAAGATCAAATATCCTGCAATTGTAGTTCTGGACATTTGATTGGCGTTCATTCACGTATGGTATTTGTCATGCGCATAAGGATCGCGGCCTCTCTCTGGGGACGGACATCCCACGTTCTCGATTCTAATGTGCGCTCTTCGACGTTCAGTACAAGAGGTCTTGTGACGTTTGCAGTTCCGAGCTGTTCACTTCATGCTCAGAAACCCCGGTTTCTCTGTTCAGCAATAAATGCGACACTTGTGGAAAGTCTTTTGTACATTCCTCTTCTTACCGACGACATACAAGAATGCAGTGTGCTTCACAATCCCGAAAACGCTGTTGAAAACTACATAAAAATACATAATATCAATATTAATCTATGATTAATTCATTGATGTCCTACCCAGGGTGCTGGAGGCTGTTCTCACATGGTTTTTGGTCGATAGCAATTCTTTTGTAGCTTTAGTACATTGACATAGTAATTTTAACAAATTTATTTATTCATTTTATACTTTTATCTTGGTACGAGAAAAATAAAGTGAAATAGTGTGCCCTGTGAAAAGCTGGAAAGCTAATCATGGTGGGGCGAGACTAGTACATGAATGACTCAAGTTATCTAATATCTATAGACGAGGAGTCACTGTCTTAAATGATAACAAAGAAAAAGAAAAGCAGATATTTAAACCCTTAGCAAGTGTATCTATGTTCCTACTTTTTTAATAATCATGGGGATTTGATTATAGTTATCCTCTTCCTAAGGTATAGAATAGCAATTTGCGGAGAACTCCTGGAGAACAAAGTTATTTATTCATTAATTTTTTATGTATTCTTTGTCATTTATTATTTATTCTTTGTTCATTGTACGAAAAAAGAAAAGTGAGATAGTTTGCCCTGCAAATAGCTGGAAAGCTAATCATGTTGGGGCGAGACAAGTACATGAACAACACAAATTATGTAATATCTAAAGACAAGGAGTTACTGACTCTTAAATGATAACACAGAAAAAGAAAAGCAGATATTTAAACCCTTAGCAAGTGTATCTACTGTATGTACCTACTTTTTTAATGATCATGGGGATTTGAATAAAGCTATCCTCTTTTTCTAAGATATCAAATAGCAATTTGTGGAGAACTTATTCCTCGGAAGATCCGTTAAATAGCTTGGTATCTTATTCCACGGCTTTACTCCCAGCCAGCAGATAGGATTGTTTTGTGTTTCTAGTCTCGAAATTTTAACATACAACTTTCCAGACATAGACGATCTTGTATTGAATGAGTGAATATTAGACGTTTTCTGAAGTAAATTTAACATGTTTGCAGGGGCTTTGTTATCATTGATATCGTGTATTAAGGTCGATACGGACTCATAATAAAGAAAAGTTAGAAGCACAAGAAATAAAGAAATAAAGGAATTGCATCGTCATGTCAGTCTGGGAAGTACAGTGAACGAAGAGCTCTTTTCTGAAGAATTAGAATTGTGTTAAGATAAGCCTTGCATGCTTGACCTCAGGCAGCAAGACCATAGGTTAAATAAGGATGATTTAGTGATTTTTAGATATTCAGTAGTATTGGTCGACAAAATTGGAATACTATTTATAGCCGTCCATTGGTTTAAATAGATATGTAGGCTTAAATTTTTGAAGTGATATTCATGACAGTGTCCCTTAAAAAAATTTATAACAATAATATATGAAAACAGTATAATAAATCCTGTAACATTACAACATCAAAGAAGTTAAATGTCAAAGAACATGTACATTGTAATTGAATGTAGAAAAGTTGAAAACCAACAACTTTAAATAATTAATAAAATCTTTGCACTGACAGGAAGCAGCGTCACAGTGTGACCATATCAACATTCTTAAGTATTTAGAGCATTCATAAATTGATCCAATTAAAAGGCAAAGATAAATTCTGAATTTAACTAATAATTGATTAAACATAGTAAATTTTGTGGCTCCCTGCTTTAAATACTGTACCTATGAGAAGCAAGTTTCTGTAAGCAAATATGACTAACAACTTTGTCTGCAAGGATTAACTACCATTCTTTCTCTTGATGTGTCCCTTTACAGTCACTATAATTAGATCTTTAAAGCAAGATTCCCCTGCAAATGGGAGATATAACTAAGTACTTTTGTCCAGAATTAAGTTTACTAGCAGATAAAAACTTGGAGTGGATTCTCTGGACGGGCAAGAAAACTGCTGGTCCAGCATTCTCAAGGTCTTCAAGGTCTTAAGCAAACCAAACAGGGAGGGGATTACCATGGCCAAAGTCTTGATCTGATGATTTCAACCAGTCCACAACAGCAAACGCATGAATATTTTGCTTTCCCTTGATCTCCACACTGTGAACAATGAAGTAGCGAATTATTTCAGGCCTCATCATTCCAGGGTTAACAATGCCATTGTTGTCACACCATGATGCAATTATTCGAGCATATGGGCAAAGCCTGGAACCGGCCTGCTGTTGAACCATACCTCTCACCACCAATTGCTAAAGACTTCTACTTCTCATAAAGTACAGACAGATTCAGTGAGGCCTCTCTTTGTATCAGATATAAGGTGAGGTGTACTTCAAGCAATATACTCAATTCTGATTGGTCAAGACTTGCCAGCTTGTAGGAGCTCTTAAAGCAGATTGATTTTAAAATCTGCCTACACAGATTCCTTGCCAAGTAAAGGACCAGAAGATGCAGGCATTAGTTGTGGAAATAGACTAGTTTCTTCATATCTCTCTTTGGATTCAAGCTGTGCTTTGCAGTTGGGCAGGGAGAGATCACTGTATTGTGTTGGTAGATTTAATCAATTTACAGCAAATAAATATATGTACATACAAACATATAATTAATAGCTGGTGGAAGACCTAGCAACAGGAATGAACTTCCCTAAAGATAAAGGCCACCAGAAACTATATATATGAAAGAGAGAACAAAAGTAAAGTATACATAATTACAGGCAATATCATAAAACGAGTATGGTAAAATGCTACATGTTAAAACTAAGTGCTAACTAAAATTAAGTAACGATCACATTAAATCACTGCTATCGATAGCAAAACAGTAGCGTCTTAGGTCATTTTTGAACATTGATAGTGATTCCCTTCTCCTAATAGATATAGGTAAATTATTCCAAAGACGAGCAACTCTGGGAAAAAAAGAAGACCTAAATAATTCTGTTCTTGCATAGTTAGTTTTAAAGGTTAATTCAGTGTTCCTTAAATTATAGGGTTCATGCTCAGAATCATCAAACTGCAGGTACTCAGAGATGTCGAGATCATAATAACTATGCAGGCATTTGAATAAAAAAATTAAGTCTAAATAGATACGTCTAGAAGATAGTGACATCAAACCAGTCTTATTCAAACGTTCTTTGTAAGGAACCCTATTCCCGACCATGAGCTTAGTCGCCCGACGTTGTACAGCCTCTACCATATCACTTAAATAAGCTTGATGAGGAGACCACACTTGAGAGGCGTAATCAAGATGTGGTCTAACGAGGTGGACATACAGCTTTTTAATTACATCAGCAATGACACACGACCCACAAGATCTTCTTATTAGACGCAAAACCTTATTAGCTGTGTTGACTTCGTTAACAATATGATCATGCCAGGACAATTTATTGTTAACAAGAATTCCCAGATCCTTTTCACACCGTGTCATCGCGATGATATTGTGACCAAGTTGATAGGATGAATTCGTAGGCTTTTTCTTTTTGGATATACTAAGATGTTCACATTTAGAACCATTAAAGGACATACCCCAGAGGTCATTCCAGTCTTCAATTGAATAGAGGTCTTTTTGAAGAGCGTCATGATCATCTAAGCTTAGCAATTCTCTAAAGCATTTTGCATCGTCTGCATAAAGGGGCATATTTGTATCAGCATCGATGTTGACAGTAATATCATTAATAAAAATAAGGAAAAGAAGAGGACCGATAATTGAGCCCTGAGGGACGCCAGATGGAACATATCTCCAGTCAGAAGCATACCCCTCGATGACAGTTCTGTGACGCCTGTTGGTCAAATAACTTCTAAACCAAGCAAGGAGTTGACCCCTTACACCAACCATCTCTAGCTTATAAAGCAATTTCTCGTGAGGAACTTTATCGAATGCTTTAGCCATGTCGAGGTATATGACATCTGTGTGTATGCCAGCATCGAGGGATTTTGCAGTAGAGTGCACAAATTGAAGAAGCTGTGTGACACATGATCGGTGCTGCCTAAATCCATGCTGATTAACGTTTAAAAAATCCGAGACATGATGATACAATCTTGTGTGGACATGTCTCTCAAGGACTTTAGATAGTATCGGTAGTAAAGCAATTCCACGATAGTTGGAGACGATGTCTTTTTGATCAGCTTTGAAAACAGACTTAAGATTGCAATCTTTCCACTTACTTGGGAAAGACCCTTCATATAGGGATTTGTTAAATATACAGGTGATAGAACTACTGATTTCAGGAGCCAGTTCCTTTAAGAGTCGTGAGGTGATACCATTAGGACCAGATCTTTTAGAAGGGTTAAGAGACTGAAGAGTTGTTAAGATCTCAGATTCAGACATGGTAATATTGGATAGGCACTCGCTGACAGGAAATATTGCATGACATCCAGGTGGAGGTGGCTAGTCATCCTTGAGATTGAATACTGAATGGAAATAGTCATTGAATAAATTGGCTTTATCGATAGGATTAGTGGCAGGAACAGGATAAGTTATGTCTCTCTTAATGGCAGAAGGAAGCTTGTGAGCCTTGGTTTTACAGCTGTAGAAATTCCAAAATTTCTTGGGATCAGTTGCAACATTGGCTCGCCACATCCTTTCCGCCCAGAATAAATCTTCCCAGTTTGAAACAGTATTATCCAAATTATCATCCAACATGGCAACATGCCAAGGGACAAATGAGAGTGTTTCCCTGAGCTCTTTGAAGTTGACCTTTTTGTAATTAAAGACTTCTTTGGTCACAGGCCTTGAAGTGGTAGGAGCAAAATGAACCTTGAAAGATACACAGTTATGATCAGAGTCCACAATATCTTGAAAAGAATATATATCAGATATGAGATCTGGACAGTAGTAAGCACCAAATCCAAAATGCTGTTATTACGAGTGGGGTGAAAATTTACTTGAGTAAGAAATGAATCGTTCAAAAGTTCGTAAGCATCGAAGTATAAAGGCTTAGAGGAGAGTGGAACCTGGTTAATCCAGTCAAAACTGGGGAGGTTAAAATCACCGGCAAGAAAAATTTTGTCAAATTTGTCATCGATGGTAGCAAGTGAGTCCGTAGACACTGAAAATACTCAACACCAGTGTTCGGTGGGCGATAGTAAACACCAAATAAGATCTTTTGACCAAGCGACGAAAGGAATTCACACCTTACTAATTCGCAGTTAGCCTCTAAGTCATATCTTCTCCAGGCCATGCTCTGAGATTTGAATGCCAACAACACAACACCGCCTCTGCGGCCAATTCGATCTTTCCTGAAGATTGTATATCCATTTGGCAAAATTTCATAATCAGGTACAGTGTTGTCAAGCCAGGGCTCCGATACAATGATAATATCGATTTTTCTGGTATAAACAACCGCCTGAAAGTCAAGAAGCTTGTTTCGAAGTGAACGTGCATTAATTACCATACAATCAAGCGAGTGCTTACATCAGCCATATTGAAATGTAGTATTTAATAGTAGCGAAGAGTGAGAAGATGTTAATGATGGTTGAGATAGGCAGGCAGGGCAAAACCAGGTAAAGTTATCAGCCAACTGTAGTTTCTTGTAGTCATTTGGTTTAACTTTTCCGCACTTAATATGACACCATCGAGCACACGAATCACAGGAGATAGCACTATGGTTTTTGGCGACAGTGTTCGTACATACAGAACATTTATCTGGTCCAGGATTCTCACTTATATCTCCACTTATAATTAAGCGATTGAGCTGGAAGGTAGACACCGAATTCGGATAAAGACTTATCCTAAATGATAAGTAACCTCTGCCGCGGTAGAATGACGAACCAAAATGGCGTCTCTCTTCAACCAAAGTATGGAAGTCGAAGTCGCAAAAATTCAAGGATCTGTGAGGATGATATCTAGCAAGCATACATACTTGATTTAACTCAAGAAAGGATACATTTGAGTTGAAATCCCAGTTAACAAGGCATATGGAGACCAAGATAAGCGCCAAAATACGAGAGCCCAGAAAAGCACGTCTTGACGCAATGAAGGCCAGGTTACCAGGTAGACTGTATTGCATATTTTCCAGAGTTCCAGAAATCATAAACTTCTGCATGAGTTGCATTTCTACAATCTTGTTGTTTGTGTGGTAAGATCCTAAAATGCCATTATACCTTTCGAAGCTGAACAGCCAAAATCCATAAACACAGCCGTAATTTTCCACACGCTCTCTGAGGTGGAGGTGGAGATGCATATTGGTTGTTATGTACAGTCTCCATTAGTTTCCTCGTACTCTTTGAGAAAATGCAACAGTTTGCAATCTGCAACCATCTAGTCTGTCCTATTTATGCAGGGTCTGCAGAGAAGGAGGCATGCTAAAACAAAGGATTGCCAATAATGAGGGTGTTGTTCAGGAAGCACATCCTTAGGAGCATACATTGAAAATAGAACAACAAAGTTTTTCCACTGGGCGGTAGTGTAGCCACCTTAATTAGATTTTATGTTTCCAGGTAGTCTACCAATGTCTGATAAAGATGAAATTTCTTCTATCCTTGCTTGAATGGTCTGCAGTCCTTCCTTAGTGATTGAGTCATCTTCAATCCATTTCATGAAGACCCTTTTGGCTGTTCCAAGAAAAAAGTTATGCATTGTGGAAGGGTTCTCATTTGAACCCCTAAGCTGTATGGGACACATCAAGGACGTTTTTGTTGGGCACATACCCAGTGCTATGTAAACACGACTGTACTCTTTAAAAAATTCAGAACTTTGCAGGAAAAATTCCCAACCAGGCTGAGACATAAGATAAAAAAGTCCTATTTCTACATGCCCAACAGGGGCTAAATTTTCTCACTTCAAGGCCCTGTTTTGTTTGACAAGAGTTCAATCCACTGGAAGTATGTAACGTACATATAAATCGCAAGTGGATTGTGCTTCCCATGATCCCTCTACATAAACGGTCTTGGTCATATACGTTCATGCACCCTACACACTTCCGCACTAAAAATGAAAGTGTTCTCTTAGACATTACAAAACTATTCATCAGAGTTCTTTGCAGCTATACTGTAAATGTTGCTTAACGTTATCTCCTGTAGCACCTCGTGCACTTTTCTTTGGAATGTTCAGATTTTAGAAGAAGTTCCTCTCATGCCTTCTAGTAATAGACAGGTTGTAAACAGCATGGCCACACCCAGAAATAAAGGGGTTTTCCAGGGTGAATAGCTGCCGCAGCTGGGGCATGGATGGACTTAACGAATGAACTGCTGACTTCTGTTTCAACACACTGGTATTGTGGATTTCCCTGGAAGTTATAAGTCAGGATCTGTGGTGGTCTCCTTTGGTGCTGCAGCCGATTCGGGACATCCTGCTCTGATTGCTCAGTTTTGTCATTTTCAGTGCCCCCTTCGTTCGCTGGTTCCATTTTGTCTGACAGCCCATTGGAACCCTCTGTAATTGCATGATTCTTGACTGACTCTAAAGGCAAGTCCCGATCTGGAGACACTGACTATGGAGCTCTTACTGCACTAGGTATTTCGTCCACAAGGTCCACACGAACAAAATCATATTCTACTTATCCTGAGCTCTGTAAATCATTTCCCAATACAGACAAAGGTTGTCTCTCTGCTGTTGTTTTTCTGGGTCGCATACCAAATTCCAGTTTTGGCACATCTTACTCTAGAACATCACAAGACACTAGTAAATTTTGATGAAGTATTGTTGTACGGCTATCTCCACTCTCAGGCTTCACTTTGTGAACTGGACTTTGAAGCAAGAGCAGTATGCTAAATATATTCATCGTTGTGAAAGATACCAAAAGCATCTTCAAAGCCCTGATAGCAAAGAGCTGCATGCTAAATGAACTCAATGTCGTGACAAATAATGAACACATCTGCAAAGTCCCAATGGCAATAGCAGCATGCTGAATAATCTCAACCTCGTGAGAAATAGCATGCACATCTGCAAAGCCCCGATTGCAAGAGCAGTATGCTTGATAAATTGGATGTGGTAACAAATACAAACACATCTGCTAAGCTCCAATGGCAAGAGCAGCATGCTAAATAAATTCAGCGTGATGAGAGACAACAAATGCATCTGCAAAGCCCCGCTGGCAAGATTAGCATGCTAAATAGATTCAACGTGGTGACATATAACAAATGCATCTGCAAAGCCCCACTGGCGAGAACAGCATGCTTTATATATTCAATGCAGAGAACATATATATCTGCACAGCCCCAATGGCAAGAGCAGCATGCTCAAGAAATTCGTCATGTTGGCAAATACAAATGCATCTGCAGAGCCCCAATGGCAAGAGCAGCATGCTAAATAAATTCAATGTCGTGACAGATAGCAAACACATCTGCAAAGCCCCGAAGGCAAGAACAGCATGCTAGATCAATTCAACGTCGTGACAGATAACGAAGGCATCTGTAAAGCCCTGATGGCAAGAGCAGCATGCTTAATAAATTTAATGTCGTGACAAATACCAACGCATTTGTAAGGCCCTGATGGCAAGAGCAGCATGCAAAATGAATTCAATGGATAGCAAATGCATCTGCAAAGCCCCGATGGCAAGAGCAGCATGCTTGATAAATTCAATGTTGTGACAGATAACAAATGCATCTGCAAAGCCCGGATGGTAAGAGCAGCATGCTTGATCAATTTAACATCGCGACAGATAGCAAACGCAACTGCAAAGCCCTTATGGCAAAAGCAGCATGCTTAATAAATTTATTGTCGTGACAAATGCAAATGCATTTGCAAGGCCCCAATGGCAAGAGCAGTATACTAATAAATTCAATGTAGTGAAAAATGCAAGAGCAGCATGCTAAACAAGTTAACCTTATTTGCCAAGGAAAGCTGTCAGTATCATATGAAGATGAAAACGCAAGGCCCAAAGGCCAGATTTAGCCTAAAATGCGAAATGCATCTGCAAAAACCCAGTGTTGAGAGCAGGATGCTAAGGACCCAAATAACACAGTGACATAAACATTGCGGCAGGCAACACCCGAAGTGCGAAAAACAAAATAAGACAAAACTAAAGAATAAGCGATGTGGCGCTTCGACAAGGCCTGACTAACAAGAATTGGGCGACTAATGGCATGTGGATATATAGGGCGAGAATAGGAGAATGTAACAAAATGGGGGGTAAAGTTGAACGCTAATCGAGGAGATTATATAAGCAAGGAGAACTACAAACGACGTGAAAGTGGAAGCAGGGAGACGGCTGTAAGAAGGCAAGGAAGTGACGCTGGAAAAGTAAGTAGCACAAAAACTAAACAGGCAAGAAAAACATAGATGAATGGTCACCTCTAATGTCTCCTGGCAGGAGCAGGCTGAGGGGCTGGCAAAATAGCTTGGGGGTTAAGTGAAATAGTGTGAATCCCTATATACGCTTTGAGGGAGACCACTGACAAACAGTGTGTGGTAAATCTGTTTTCTGAATGGACGTCAAAATAAAGACTTCATATGCATGTGAATGTACAAAGGGGTTGGTGAAGAGAGTGCCCAGTGACTCAGCAGGCATACGTAACTCATTTTCATTTCTGATACTCAGTAGTACCTTATGTTCTGTGTACAAGCACAGACCTTCAAGCTTTAGACCTCAAACACTTAATTGTAGCTTACTATTTGTAAATGTTCTGGTTATATTAATGTCTGGACTTTGAGTGAGAAGTTGAGCCTGTGTTTCATTCTTTTAGTCACTGTGATTGGTTTACTGTGTCACTCAATGACATAAACATAAGACATTACCTGACCTAACTTTGTATTTTACATGTATAAATATCACCCAGTTTTCATAGTTGTTTGGAAAAATTATACTTGGAAAGCTTTTACACTTGTCTTACAGCGCTGGTCAAATGACACATCACAGTCAATGGTAGTAAATGATAGTTAAAGCATGCACTTCCATTTGACCAACAAATATCGGAGCTATCATTCACTATCATTGGCTATCATTCACTTAAAACTTGTTCAAATTCTTTAGGATAATCAATGATACTTTTTCCAGTTTTCCCACGTGTGTTGCATGCTGAGGAACAGAAGAATCGGTTTTCCGGAACAAAACACACAAACACGTTAAAATGGCGGACAACAGAATCCTCTTCTATTTATTTTGCGACAATTCCTATTCCTTACAGATTTGTGCCAGAGGGGGGTGTGCATCACGTCCCTACATGTCCTAGTCTAAACTTTGTCAGCCCTACACATGCATGATAGTTGACGATAGCTCAGGTAGATTAAACTATTGCTGACTATCACGCACCTTTAACCAGGGCTTCACAGGCTTTTCTTGTTTCCTCTCAACAGCCTACATGGGACTAAAGTGAGGCAATTCTTATAACTTGAGAAGACCTCACCTTAATATAAAAAAGAAACCTTCAAAATTTCCTTCCAGCAAGCACAAATAACTTCAGGTTTAGCCTAAAATCAAACTCATAACTGCATGTATGATAGGAAGCTTCATGAGGCTTACATAAGAACAAATTGCATTGCTGTTCTCTTGGCATGCTAGCAATGTGAACTTTATTATAAATTGATTCATACCTTTGGATTCGCTTTCACTAGAACTTGATCCACGCATGTCAGGAACAGACGATCTTTTGATATCTTCTACTGTTTTCCACTGTTCGAGACTTGAGTTGTAATAAAATTTATTATAATAATTATACTGCATATCACTTAGTAACTGCTGGCAATGACCACACCGCTGCTTACACCTTTCACGCTTCTTGCGATCTGTATGCAAACTTTACCTTTTCATTCTAAATGATTCCTTTCTCTTCATAAAGTTGATAGACTTGTGAAAATTCCGAAGGAGATATAAAATAGAAGTGTATTCCAAGGAAACAGATTGAAGCTGATTGAGGTGAGATGGAAAGTGTCATGTCGTTGCGCACATGTGGTCAACTGACTGTTACCATTTGCTACAAATGAGTCAGTGTCGTTTACCAGAGGGTGGGAAACTTGTAGAAAGGAAAGTTGTTGACGCACGGTCTGCACCACAGTCCATAATTTTGTTCTGCTGCAACTGATTGTCATGGAGTCATCGAACACAGAAACAAAGAGATTGGAGTGTTAGATCCTGAAACCCCAAGAGCTGCACAGGTAAGGGCAGGGCAGGTAAATATGTTGTGAGCGTGTAGTTTTTTGTAACCCACACCAGACTTTTACTGTCGGTTTGTGAAATCTGTGTTCCACTATGTTAAATCACACAAAAACAAGGGCTATATTTCTTCACAGCTTCAATCAATTGATTTTATTTTCCATTTTTTCAATTAATTATCCAGCGACTCTTAATTTTTATTATTTAAAAAATACAAATATATTTGGTCGCTTTCCTCGTAATTTGAACATGACATGACTGAAATTCATTTATTTATATATTTAACAATTTGCCAAAGGCAAATTTACAATAAGACAAGGTTGTCCCCTACTTGGTAAATTACCTTTCCCTATCCCCTACAGAGGCGCTATGGCACAAGCGCCCACTACAAAACTCAAAGGGGTCGTTTCTTTTCAGATCAATGAAACCTAATTTGCATTTAAAGAAAAAGACAATGTCTCGATATTCCAGCCAATATTTCAGGGAAAAAAAAGTTGAGTTCTGATAGACACTCCTTGTAAAAGAGGCCAGGATCTTTGCTCTGCGCTGGATGTTTTTGATCTTGACCATCAGTGTCGGAGATTGGGGAGCCCACCGTTGAGACGCATAGCAGAGACATGATCTTACCAGTGATAGACACAGGGTCTTCACAAGGTCTCTTTTGAGGTCTCTTCTACAGTTACGTTTAATAAAACCCATCATGCAAGTGGCTTTTGCAAGAACTGAAGGTATGTGGTCTGTCCATTTCAGGTCATTACTTACAGTAACTCCAAGATCCATAGCAGATTTAACAACATTAAGTTCAGTTCCCAATATAGAGTAAGATTTATCTGGGCTTTTCGTTTTCTTGATATTCCTAGATGTAAGCATTTTGGTGGCTGAAAATGAATTTCATTAGTAAGAGACCAGTTGGTTAGACCATCAAGATCTCCTTGGATGGCAGTAAAATCACCGTTGACATTTTTGATTACTTTAAGTAATTTGGAGTCATCTGTAAACATTGCTAGTGTGCAGTGACCTATAGCATTTGGCAAGTCATTGACATACACTTAGAGCAAGATGGGTCCCAGTATTGATCCTTGAGGGACACCAGACCTCAGTGGGTTCCAGTTTGAGAAAGATCCATTGATGACCACATGTTGCATCCGATGGCCAAGTTAGTTTATAAACCAAGCAAGAAGAGGACCATGTACACCAAACCAACTTAGTTTCTGAAGCAGTTTGGTGTGGCAGACAGAGTCAAATGACTTTGCAAAGTCAAACAGAATCAGATCAGTCTCTATATCAGCATCCAGATGTTTACCAATTTCATCCTACACCCATAGGAGTTGACTTACACAAGATTTCTTTCCTTACACAAGATTTCCTTTCTTAACAAATGAACATCAAGAAAAACTTACAGCTGGTATGTATAAAATGTCAAATGTTCTGAAAATGTATTGAATTAGTCACTGTGGACTGCCCAACGAGGGTCTTTAGTTGGGGGAAGGCGTGGTGATTCGTCCTCAGTCCAGTTGACACGTGCACTTGTTTTATGTTGCTTCTCAGTTAGTCTGGCGAATATGCGTCATCCAGTTTCACTTTAATATCCCTCAGTTAGCTCTTCTCCCATGACAGCTTTCTGATCTTTCATGGTCTTGGGCCACTCCTTGGTTCAACTGCTTTGTAACTGCCATTTCAGTGACATGATTTTAAGGAAAAGCTCGATTATGAGGCTAAGCTATCGCTTTAAATAGAAACGAAGACAAAAATCAGCTGCCTCATGCTTGAGAAGAAAACAATATTGACATTTTAACGGTTGAAAATCAGCGGAGGATGGTATTAAGCAATTTAACACACATGCATAATTGTTATCTAGAGAAAATTCTCGTTCTCCTCAATCTCGGATTGGACAGCAACATTCACACTCTTAACGGCATTCCCTTCCTTCCCTCCGACAATCTTCCTACGTGATTGAGTTAACCATTCCTTGACAGTTTCTGTAATGAGGTTGTCACACTGACTGGTATGCAGTTCAGGTCCATTAATGCTCACGTGCATTAGGGAAGCGAGCATGTCATTGTTTAGGGAACTTCTCAATCGTGACTTCAACCGCTTGACCGCGGACTCCCCTCTTTCAGGCCATGCATTGGAGACAGATAGTGAAAGGCAAATTTTTTCTATTTTAAGAAGATATGGGAGAAAGGGCTGAGAAGAGCGCTGCATTGATAACAAATGCTGGAGTAGCCATTCAGTTGGAGTGAGGAAGTGAGGTTTTTCTTCTGTGGTGGTTTCAACACATGCAGAGGAATGTTGCTGTTCAGCTGAAGTAGATTGTACTTAAACTTCTTCCATTCACAGAGCAATTCTTCTTCCAGCTCTTCCTTTGTTCTCTTGACTCTGGTAGAAGTGGTCAGCTAAAATCTTGATGTCAGCTCTTCCATACACTTTAAACGACTCATCTGACCTCTCAGGCACTCCTTGGGGTTCAAATATCTTGAACGCCGTCAACACTAGAAGGCTGTTACTGAATCAGCTAGTAATGTTCTCCACCAGTGAACTTATGTACTGATTGGTCAAGTCGACTAGCTTTCTTTCACCTCATTGCTAAGTGTCATCTTGATGTGGCCAGTCTCCCATCAAGGTCTTTCTGAAGTTGTTTCATGGGCTTCTGCTGATCAGCAACGTCTTTAATGTCATTGATGGTAAATTTTACTGTCGGCTCAATTGCTGCAAAAGGTACGTGTCCACTTTAAAAGCCTCTATTCAAGTAGGAAAGAGCTGGAAGGACATGATGTAGAATGTAAACAGTCCTAAGGAACTTAACAATGGCTATTTGTTGCAAAAGACCAGTTGCTGGAGCATTACCCTCTTCTTTAAAGACTCTTAGGGTCTGTGTGGGAGGCTACATGCCTTTTAGAACTTGTTTACCACTTTCTTATTGCCTTCGTTGGAAAGGTAATTGCTTTCAATTATTTTACTGCTTTGGCATATGCAGCTGTTTTCTTTGCAGAATTCTTGAAGAATGACCAGAGCTGTACCAATAGCTCCTCCACAGTTTTTATATGTGACCTTGTCATTAGCATCACCATAAGCTAATGCCAACCTGTGGCATATGCAGTGAACTTTCAGCATAATCTTTGATTCTTTTCAAAGTAAGATGGTCGCACCATTTTACTTACCAGTAAACACACTAACACCATCTGATGAAAAACTGGTAAGTTTCTTTAGTTCCAGTTGTAATTGCTTTTGATTTCTCAATTGATGTTGTTGCAAACACAGTTTTTGGGAGTCACGAAACAAAAAAACTTATCGGGGCCTAGTTTCCCGTTCTAATGGAAATAAATAGCAAATAAAATCACATTCTCTTGAGAAATAAAGTTATAAATAACAGGGGTTCTTTGAAACAAATAGTGATAGAAAAGGTTTCAGTTCTGGTCAATATTGACTTTTCATAGCCTACTTCCAAATCTGAGGGAACGCACTGAGGGAATTAAAATAACATACATGTGGCGTAATGCAAGAAAGAGAATCAAAATACAAATAAAGAAAAAGGAGAAAACATAGGAACCCGTGTTGCAGCGCGCAGATATCTTTCGAGCTAGACCTACACACCCAGGCCTGACACCACGCAAAGAAACTCGAAAGGGTGCTGTATACCAACTGGCTCGCACGTGGCTGCAGGGAAGGCCATGACAATCAGCGAAAATAATAGCAAACGCAGACGATATTTGCAGTCAAAAACAGGCAAATGAAATAACAGAAGGATTAAGAACTTTCTAGAAGTGTTTTCTTGTAAAAAAAAGATAAACAATTTTTACTTCTCATGGAAGGTCACGCAGTCACGCTACAGATACTATTTCTGCGTGGAATTTCTTCATTGTGGAAAGTGGAAAAAAACATTTCCAGTCTTATTTTCTGGAAGCATGGCGCCGTTAATGAATTTTATGGCGCTATTGATATTTCCTATCAAATGAGGGGGGCAGAGTTTCCCGTTATCCGCGGTCTGGAAAAGCCGAAGTTGTTACACACTAGAACTTGAACGTCAACAAGCACGCGACATGTGACTTTAAAATATCCTCTCCTGTTACAGTTTCCTCATTGTGAACTGTGCGATAATGATAATAAACAATCAAATTACAGACTAATGAATGTTTTGCTCTGTACAAGAGCCCTATTTGTTAATTTTAGCAAATCTCCAAAGTAATAAACGACATGAGAAAGAAACGCTACGATTTTTCGCCTACATGCATCTCTCTGAACGTGAAATTTTCCATTCCGACGAAAAATCTTGAAAGTTTTTCACATTTTTTGACTTTGTTGATGAATCATATTTTATGAAGAGCTAAAGCAAGTCGGTTTATTTGGTCAAGTGACCGGCTAGAGCTAGAATTGCGTGACAGGTGTAGTTAAGAAAAACTTGCCACAGTTGCAGATTTTAAAAGGTGTCCAAAACAAAAATATGGTAGTGCCCAAAGATTTTTTTGATGGTTTTCAGAGAAGAAATGATGGATTATAAAGGGGAATTAAGATTAATGTTGTAGCTTTCTAGCAAGGGGAGATATTTGACCTCAAAGTTGTCAAATATTTGGATGAATCGAAAAGTCTAAAAGCACAGTCGTTTATTTGCCTCTGTTGATTGACAAGCCATTCATGAAATTGACTGATACTTGCGTCGGACATTTACTAACTATGTAATAATATGTGTGCAAACCCCTTAGAGTAATTGGTTAAATACCATCGCAGTGAGAGCGTCATACATTTTACCTATTTTGAGGTGACTTCCTTGCTGAAAACCAAGAAAAACTGGGGGGGTCTCTGCGGAAAAAGCCGAAACAGAAACCACTTTGTCGTTTTTAGTTTTGTGGTAGACCCTTTAAACTGAAAAAGTTTTATTGAAATCGGTAAGATGGCATGTAACACGACTGCCCCGTGCTCTCGTGGACACACTCTTAAGCGCTCTAGACACTCTAATTCTGACGTGCAGTGCCGCTCGGGTTCAGTGTCTGAAGCATCATCTAATGTGTATAAGAACAACGTAATGCGTGTGTAAGTCTTCCGTAGGTGTTTCTTAAACCTTTCCAATGTAAATGGCTCTTTTCTTCTAGAAGTGTGGTCACTTCGCTTCCATCCGGGAAGCATAGTTTATAAGTCTTGTCATTTCTGAAAGTACTGTCGTAAGTTTCTTCATGTTTTCGTCAAGTATTGTCTCGGCTGTTACATGTTTCTTGACTTTTTGGGGAAGGGACTTGTTTCTCGCGGGCTTGAAAACGCCTCACGATACAGAACCAATCCCGATGGTTATGGTTACAAATTCGTCCATCTTTGTTTTCTTGGACTTGGAATTGAAGGTGGTTTGCCTCTCTTTCGACCTTTGGGATAAAAAGTTCTTGAAAGTTGACACTTGACTAACTGAAGATGAAGATAAACTTATACCGCACTTTGGGCAAAACTTGTGATCTGCTCTTCTCCAATAGACTACAACCACTTCAACTGAGACAAAACATGGCGGGCAACAAGCGCGAAGATGATGAGGCCCATGAGACTAAAGCTAGTCCCAGAGTCTGGTCACTTTCAGGGTCAGGATTGGTTACCAGTTGAAATTTTGTCGTGTTTCACTCAATTTTGTTGGTTTTTTGCGTTTGTGTATCAGAACATTTTATTATGGTTTTGAAAAAGATTGTTGTGTTTTGAAAAAGGTTGTTGTGCTCTCAAAAAGATTGTTTTGTTCCCGCCAATATTGTTGTGTTCTCGAAAAGGTTGCTGTGTTCCCACCAAGATTGTTGTGTTCCCACCAAGATTGTTATGTTCTGGAAAAATTGTTATGTTCTAGAAAAATTGTTGTGTTTTGAAAAAGATTGTTGTGTTTTAGAAGAGAAATTGAGTTGTGTTTTGCTCTTATGGGCCGCCGTACATTTGGCAATCCCAGACCACATTTTTGAGACACTTTTCTAGCTCCTGTCTGTGACTTTCCACTGGAGTCAACAAGTAATATGGGATGCTTCTATAATGCATAACCAGTCCGAGAGCAGTATTTCGCATCATAAGGGACAAATAGGCCAATCAGAAGCCTGGGCCGGGTTGTTCAAAGCTGGGTTAAGATAACCCAGGGTTAGTGTGAAATCCGATTTCAGATCTAAAAGCTTTACAAGAAAATTCAGTCGAATTCTTTTTGTTTAGAGTATGACTACTTGATGCTTTAAAAAGGACACTGAAAATTTTCCCAAAAAGGCTTTTGAGTAAAGGAATAAAGAAACGCAGATTAAAATTTAACCCTGGGTTAGCGCTAATCGGCCTTCGAACAACTGGGCCCTGTATTTGATCCAAGATGGCCAGTTCTATTTTCTAGCCTTTTGATTGGCTAATTTCAAATTTCAAATTCTGGCGGGAAACTCGTTAGGGTTGTAATTGTGTAACAGAAACTTGCCATGGCCGCTTTGAGTGGTGTGCCAATAATGGTGACATTATCGGGCTAATTTGCATATTGATAGATACGCACAGTATTACCTATTACTCTGAAAAATGTCCGGAGCCATGTGGGAGTCGTGATTCAGTCCTCAAACGAATGTGCATGCGCAGGAAAAAAATATGATAAGTATTATATCGACATTATCATCCGCATGCAAAGCAACCAAAAGTAACAAAAAAACTAGAAACACAAACCCCAAAAACAGGCGTAGGCATAATGCGTAACGAAGAAATAAATACCAAAACCCGATCAAATCTGATCCCTTTCATGGGTGCTGCCAAGCCAAAAGCCCTGCGCGTTTTACTAGGCATAATGAAAAAAAAATGACTTTAACATGTGCAATTCCCAAACGGAATGCGCCCGACTTATGAGATGGTATCATCATTGTTAATAGTCATGACTGAGCGAAACTGTAATACACACATATCCTCAGAGTGGTATACTCCTCTAAGCTGTTCTGCTCGACGGAAATCAAAATACAAATAAAAAATAGCTCATAGGGTAGAACCTTGTCCACAATTTGACGGAAATGTAAACTCTTATTCAAGTCGACCCCGTGAGGTGTTGATACATTTAGCACGATATTTTCACGCGAAACTTACTTTTTCGTAATCCCACCAGGATGTAGTCGATTAAATTCATGAAATTCTTTGCGGGGCCATCTACACCATTATGACCTGTGAACTGAAAAAGATAGAAAGTGAACTCCAGTAATTTAGAATTGAGTATACTCATCGTAAGGAAAAGGAATTAATTA